ATTGTATATTTTATATTGTATATTTTATATTGTATATATATATATTGTCTGCACTATCAGCACCAAGTCAAATTTCTTGTGAGTGTGAACCTACTTGGCAATAAACTTCATTCTTATTGGGGGGAGTGTACTGATCCATACTGCAGTTTCCTATTGATGAAATATAAATAAGTAGTAATGTAATTCAACTTATCTGCTTAAGAGTAATTTGGCTTGATCAGGCGCAGAGGTGGATATAGTACACAAAGATTTTAGTCAAGAGTAGCAATACTTAGATTTTTTTTTTACTCAAGTAAAAATTATTCAGTAAAACGGCTACTTGAGTACTGAGTAACTGTTAATAACATCAGATTTAATGTTTATAAATGATGATGGTAAACAGACTTTATGTGCAAGATCTGACATTTTAAAGACTCAAATGCCTTAAGAATACAAATAAATTTAATATATTAAATATTATGAACATAAAATAACAAATTCATGCAGAAGAAATACTTTTACCATTTTTGCTTTTTTTCAACAAAAAACTTAGAAAACCAATCTTAACAATGAGAACTGTATATATATGTTAGAACAGGGAACTAACTTCCACTGTTAATATCTACTGTTTATTGTATATTTACCTGGTTTTGAAATAGTTCAAATTACTGACAGAGCACAGAGTAGTCAGAGAATTTACTAAAGTAGGAATAGTGATACTTTACAATAATATTACTCAAGCAAAAGTAAGACATACGGCACAGCTAACATACTCCTAAAAGTAATTGTTTTTCAAATTGTTGCTCTAGTAAATGAAACTACCGTAATTACTACCCACCTCTGATCAGTGGTCAAAACTTTTCAAATTCCTAAGAGTCCCTTGGAATAAACCACATCTAATAGAAAAAGGTTGCAATATAAAGTATGTTGAAAATAACTGATATTCTGATCTTTTTCCTCAATCTTCAAAAGCTATTAAAGCTTTCCAACTTTAAGAGATAGAAATGTAAATGTTTGATGCATGAGTATAAAGAGATGTTATTTACAAGTCTGAAGTGCAATGAAGGGATTAGATGGTGACAACACTGTATAAAAATGTGGTGCAAAATGACACAGGGGTTCATTTTCTTGGATCAAAGGAAGCTTAATTCCCCTATTAACCTTTCTAGATTAAAACTGGAAAATCTTATTAAAAATCCTAAATTACAGCCTAAAGGTTTTTCTGTTCAACTAATAAGACAGCTTTGATGAGCATGTGATAATGGCAGGTGGTATCTGAAATTACAGTATTTTAAAGATGCCAAAAGTTCCGAATAACTTTGGGCTTTCCAGCATGGACTGGGCTATAATTTGTACTTTGAAATAAAAGTTAGATTCATTTAATCAAAGCCCTTTAGGCCCAAAGGCCTTTAGGGGATGGATTTTAGAGGACACAGATTATCAGTGTTGATTATTTGGTGTCCTGTTCCCCTATTTTTAATTTGCCATTCTGCTTCTGCTTTTTAAAAATATGTTTTTTGTTCCAGTTTTGTTTAGTTTTCCATACAGGAAAGTAAAACATTTTCTTCTCACAAATTGAACAAGTTTCACATGAAAAATGTTCACTGACTGCATTGTATCTATCACTTGATATATGTCATTCAATTCCTCTTTTTCATTATCTCTCTATCTTTAGGTCCAGAATGTTACCTCGTGTTATTGACAATAAGCCCACAGCCAGAAACGTTTGACAAACAGGTTTATCAGGTTAAGCCAGGAGAGGCAACCTGCAGCAGCGATTCATATCTGTGCACAGCAACATGTGACTTTAATCAAGCTGGTAAAGATGGAAGATATCAAAAAAAAAAACACTGTGTAAACTGTTTAAACTAAAACATTTGGAACAGAACACTTTCATTGTTAACAAATAGTGAAGTCTGTTCAAGTCCTATGAGGTTAATACCTTTTTAACTCAATTTATATGAACAACAAAGCCAATCCAAAAACAAACATTCAATGATCAACAAATGTGAATAAAATGTTGGTTTAGCTATCAATTATAGACTTACTTAGTTCACGTCTTGACATGTTGGCCAAAGAAGGGATGGGACAGTGAAATCCTCAGCTCACAGATATGAGTTGCTCCTTTGTGATCTCACAGGACTTGTAGTAAAACGTGTCTTAAGGAGTTTCTTTCTTTTTTACCCCTATGAACCCTTAGAGGACACACCCTCTTTTAGCTTGTTTCTCTGAATCATCTTTCCAGGAGATCTACAGGATCTCTGAACCACAGAGTTCAGTTTGTCTGTAAAATTCTAAAGTTTTATTATCCAGCAAGATTCATGTTGATCGGAAGTCCTGGTTAAAATGTAAAAAATAAAATCTTAAATTGTATTTACCCTTTATAATAATACTCGAATCTCATGATGTAAACGCAGTAATGTGTGTACAAAACACAGGCAACTTATTCATTTAGGGAAAACAAAGCATGATAAGTATTGATGTTTTTTTTTAAACATTCAATGGTTCTGTAATTAAATAAACTTCTCCAATAACATGAGGCTAATAAAGTTTTGTAATGAATGTCAAGAAACGTGAATAAATAATCTATAATCTAAGTAATCCATAAGTTTGTGTTACTTCATACTATCGGTCCTAACACAGAACAAAAGAACAGCTTCTGCAGAGCCTTTTTCTGGACAGTGTCAGTGTGTGGGAATCAGCCTGGATTGCTAGAGAAGGAGTGTTGCTTTTAATCTGCTATGATCCATATTAGATACTGTTATTGAGGATGGTAAAGAGAGGCAGTGGTGTCTTTCAGGAATTCAACATTCATCGTCTTACACTGCTTGAGCTCCAGGTGGCTTTAACAGCAACAGCAGAGAAGCTCATCCACTTCCTGTATTTAAACTCTTCCATGTCTTGGATCAGGCCAATATCAGTAGCATGCTGTAACACTACCATGATATAAAAGCAACAAAGCATGTTATTCAAGTATAGCAACTGTGATGCCTTTCTGAGGGGGTGCTGGTGCTGATAGGTAGACTGAACTTGTGTGACAGGCTTAACAACTTATTTTACTTTAGTTTCTATTGCTTTGATCTTCATTAGAACTACCGTACTAACCAGTCGGTGGTCTTTATCTTTGCTATGATACATCTTTTTTTTTTGGGGAAAAAAATATTTGCCCTTCTCTATCGGTACCAACTTTATGTGGCTAATTTCATTTGGTCATGAATCTTTTGTCTTAAGATTATGTTTAAAGGTCAATTTTTTGTTCATATTTCAATCCATTTTCTCATTAAAGTGTGAGAGTTTAGGGCCGTGCGCACTCCAGCGACGGTAGGAACTTCTTGTCAGGCAGGTATTTCTCAGCATTTATCTGTCCAACAAAACTCTCAATTTTAGTGAATGCATAAGAAATATGAAAACATTAAGAATATGTTTAAGATTTCCCTTTCTTGTTCACTCCGTTTTCTTATCAGTGTGCAAGAGTTTAGGGCGATGCGCGCTCCCGAGGTAATTCTCAGCAGGCAGGTATTTCTCTGCATAACACCAGTGGTGAGTCTGACATAGTGGAAAAATTGCAAATCTTCTTTTGGAAAGTAAGCTTGTATGAACGATGAAAACAGCAACTTTTAAACAGAGAGTGCACAAGGAGAAATTTGCTTGTGCACGCTCTCACACTCGTTATATAGACGTTCCCTCTCAGGAGTGGATGCAGGGTCATGCATGTGCTTATTTTTTTAAGTGGAGAGGGCGGGTCTTTTCAAGGATTAGTAAACCCCCCCCACTATACCTTTAAATATATATACATTTTTTTGTGGTGGGGATAGATTAATTTAATTTAATCTCACTGTAATCTTGGAATGAATCTAGATTATTCTAGAATAAAATCGCTACTTCGAGTCTGCCAAAGGCATTCATTATATGTGTACGCTACCTCCAGAATTTAAAAAGGTTTACTTTTTTTGCTTGCAAAATCACACATAATTTCATTGTCTTACTTAAGATTTTGACAGTTATAAATACATTTTTTTCTCATTTGTTTTTGTGTTTTGCTGCAAAAAATAATAGTCCCACTTCCAATTATAGAGTCAGACAGTATAGTCTCCAAAAATCTGACACATGCCGCCTCAACCAACTTCTCATCTTTCATGGCTTCTCCATGGCGTGCTGGTCATGTATTCTCCTGATGATAGTTTGCCTTGCAGGTAGTACATCCGCCCTAAAATATCTAGTTGAAAGTCAATTCAATTCAGTTTATTTCTATAGTGCCAATTCTTAACACACCATCTCAAGGCACTTTACAGTTCACCAGATCATACAGTCAAATTGATCCAAAGTTTTCTATCTAAGGAAAACCAGTTGATTGCATCGACTCATTGACTCAAAGGCAATCCCTCACACTAAGCATGCTTGTAGCGACAGGGNTTTTTTTTTTTTTTTTTTGTGGTGGGGATAGATTAATTTAATTTAATCTCACTGTAATCTTGGAATTAATCTAGATTATTATAGAATAAAATCGCTACTTCGAGTCAGCCACAAGCATTCATTATATGTGTACGCTACCTCCAGAATTTAAAAAGGTTTACTTTTTTTTGCTTGCAAAATCACACATAATTTCTTTGTCTTACTTAAGATTTTGACAAAGTTATAAATACATTTTTTTTCTCATTTGTTTTTGTGTTTTTGCTGCAAAAAATAAGTGTCCCACTTCCAATTATAGATGTCAAACAGTATAGTCTCCAAAAATCTGGCACATGCCGCCTCGACCAACTTCTCATCTTTCATGGCTTCTCCATGGCGTGCTGGTCATGTATTCTCCTGATGATAGTTTGCCTTGCAGGTAGTACATCTGCGCTAAAATATCTAGTTGAAAGTCGATTCAATTCAGTTTATTTCTATAGTGCCAATTCTTAACACATCATCTCAAGGCACTTTACAGTTCACCAGATCATACAGTCAAATTAATCCAAAGTTTTCTATCTAAGGAAAACCAGTTGATTGCATCGACTCATTGACTCAAAGGCAATCCCTCACACTAAGCATGCTTGTAGCGACAGGGGCTTTAATGGTTCAAGATGAGCAGAGTGAGCATCAGCTGCAGTAATCCACAGGGAAACAGCGAGAGTCCCTGGAGAGACTGAGGCTGCAGTAACTCACAGGACAACAGAGATAGTTCTTGTTGTTGCAGAGTGCAATAAATCCACAGGACCACAGAGAGAGTTCTAGAAGACGCTGAGATGCTGTAAATCCTCAGGTGCAGACGAGAGAGTTCACAGGGCAGAAGGCAAAAGATCCAGCAGTGCAGCAACGGAAGCACAGAACCTGACTGACGAGGTGTGGGGTTAGTAGTGACTGAATACGAACCAGCAGGGAAGAGCTGAACGAGAGGCTGGCAGGTGGAGTGAGTATTGATTAACTGGTGCTTAACAGGTGTGACCAATTGCTGATGGAGTAGAGGCTGAGCTGTGTGAGAGGAGGAGGTGCTGGAAAATAACAGGAGGTGATAGCCAGACCAAAACAGAACCATGACAATATGGAATACAATTGATGCATAGATGCTTTAAAGTAAAAAAAAAAAAAAGAAAAGAAAAAAAACTTTTTAAAGAAGTTTTGACTTCACAGCTGCACGCTCCTTTGCATTGCTACATCATGTAAAATCCACATAAGAAACAATGAGGGAGTAGTAGAAAGTTTAAAACATTTTACTGAGGTGATAAAACTTTTTTTGGGCATCATATAAAAAAAGAATAACCTTCCTAAATCTGTAGTTTTTTAAAGTACAGATTTAGTCAAATAAAAAAGACTTAAACAACGTAGAAATAAAATAGACTTAGACAAAGTAAAAAAAAATCGACTTAGACAAAGAAGACTCACTTTTTGACAAACAGATCCATAAAAGATACATTATGCTTGAAAGTAAGGTTCTGGAGTATCATGTAGTATTAGGGCCAGGCGAGAGATTATTTTTTTCTTCTAATTAGAGAATAAAGTCATAACATTTTGAGAATAAAGTAAATAAATTACGAGAATAAAGTAATAAAATTACGACAAAAAAGTCAGAACAAGAATATATTAATAAAATTAAGAGAGTAAACTTGTAATAAGAGAATAAGGTCCTACAATTATGAGAAAGGAGTTGTATTTTATGGTGACTCTTACAAGAAGCACTTTCTTCCCTAAAATGAGGAATGTGGAGCACTATATAAAGTTATACTTTGGCTCTGGTTTGATAAATAAGGAAATCTTTTAGCACACCAGCATCAAATTGGGCAGAATGTCGAAGCGGACACAGGATGCTGATTGGTGGAGCTGTTCGGCCTTCATATGCAGGTCGAAACTCAAAGCTTTCTTTCTAAAACGGGTTATGGTATGATGACTTCATTCTCCTAATATTACGACTTTATTCTCGTAGTTTTACAACTTTACTCTCATAATATTACAACTTTATTCTCGTAATGTTACTACTTTATTCTTGTAATATTAAAACTATTTTCTCATAATGTTACAAGTGTATTATTAAAATAATAATAACAAAAATCTCTAACCTGGCCCTAATACTCTGTCGTACTGGAGACTTCATGAGAAAAAATTACTGCAGTAACAGCTTGTAATTTAATCTGAATATTCAAATCTAACTAAACTGTTTTAATATTGACACAGATTTTATTTAATGTAAAAATCATTCTAAACATCTACTAGCATTTAACTGATGTTAAACCTCTGATAACTGCGGTGTTTTCCTCTTGCCTGGTCTGGTTGGTAAAGGTAAATTTTCAGCTCTGTGAGATTTCTGGCTTAGTTGTTTGGCTGCATTGAGTTTGCATGTTCTCCCTGAGCATGCGTGGGTTCTCTCTGGGTACTCTGGCTTCCTCCCACAGTCCAAAAACATAAATGTTAGGTTAATTGGCTTCTCTAAATTCTCATTTAGGTGTGGGTGTGTGTGTGAATGGTTGTTTGTCCTGTTTTCTCTGTCTTGCTCCGCGATGGACTGGCGACCTGTCCATGGTTTACCCCGCCTCTCGCCCATTGACAGCTGGAGATAGGCACCAGCACCCCTCGCGACCCGACTTGGGAGTAAGCGTGTTAGAAAATGGATGGACGGATGGACACACAATAGACTCAATAAATGCTAGATTACCGGTAATCCTGTTTTTTTTCCTGAAAATTAAAAATGAATCAACAAAATGA